GAAGAATGATTGTCGCTGTGGGATAATTGTGCGGTAATCATGCAGGAAAACAATGTGCATAAATCCAATTCCCGCACGGTACGGAGCGGAGGGAGCAGGATGTCAATGGAATCTGGATGGATGCAACTCCTGTGGTTTCCATGCGATTCAAACATACTGCCTCTTGATTAATTGCATTTGTAACGTACAGTACATTGAAGTTTGTACATCTTTTCATCATCACGGTTCTATTCTCATCGCATCAAATGATAATATCATCACCACTATGGCATACGTCAAGTTCAATATAACCATTCAAGGTTCCCGAAGTCAGTGATGTTTTCCCGTTCCCATCAAAAAGTGGAGATGGAGAGTTCATCCATCAACTCTCTAGACTCTGCACTCCAGAACTCGGGACTTTGAATTCTGGACTCGCCAAAATACAACCCTCACTCCTTCATTCACTTCGGACGAAATATGCTTAATAAATTCCTAAATTCCTAAATTCCTAAATTCGAAATTCCAAAATGTTAAAAATCCAAAATCCCTCCTCCGTCAAAGAAAAAACAATGCATGTTTCAAAATGCGCAGATGAGGATCTTCATCATCTTTAATTGGTAGCTTGGAACTTACAAAATGATTTCGGAATGAACTGTAAGGTAAGCTTCACTGCCTTGCTGCAACCCCCAAGGCGCGACTTGACTTTTTCTTCTTCTGCGTTTTCTGGGGTTTGTGCCGTAGCAATCAACCAATTACGGGGGAGGGCACGGATAATATCGTCGGAGTGCAGCAGTCATAGATCACATGAAATCTTCTACTCGTTTCTCCATCGTAGCGGTCAGACTTCGAGGCTGAACGCATGGAGATATCTTTTGATCGTGCGCCGGTAGTTAGTAGACACCTATCGACTTAAAGAAAATAAACCGTGAGGGAAACATTCCTCGCAAAATTCAAAGTGTATGCCCATTGAATATATTTGTATCCGTACTGATGTTGAAGAGGCAAAACGCAAAAACCTTTGATGATCCAAGCTCTCCAAGATGTTTGACTTTCTAGTACTTATCCCTCATCGATCATATCCAATGTAGTTGTAGAAAATTTCCTTTAACCTTCCCGTTTTGACATTGAAAAAAAGTTCGAAAGCTAAGGAGGGCTCAAGGGGACCGACCGAAGATTCCCTTAACATAGCATCGAGCCGCTTGAAAGCATCGTTTCCGAATTCCGACGGGGGATCGTTTCTGGGAAACGATACTTCGAAAAGGGTAATGTCAAAAGTCTTCGGTTATGCTATGTATTATACTTCCATTAATGCCGAATTCTTTGTATGCTGAAAAGCTCTCCATCCCTGTAAAGGTCGTACTTGTGAAATTAACAATCCAAAGTTGTTGCTTTTGATAATCCACCTAAAAAGGGATCAAGATACTCCAGTCGGAGATGGGGGTGAGGGGGTGAGGGGGTGAATGAGGAGCAGATATCTTGGTAATCCCAAGTCATATTTTCCCTTCTTGCTGTATTTAATCACATCTGTTCGAAAAACTCCTTCCAGGGTCTTCTGCATCCTGCGCTTTGATGCACTCAGAAGTAGCTGCTCGTCAAACGGGTTTGAACGTTTCCTGTTCCGTCTAGGTGACATTGGTTGTTCAGTCAATATTGGATGCCCGGATAATATTAGCTATTCAGTTGATATTGGCTGTCCATTCAAGTATCCGTGAGATACTTAACTGTAAAATTCTCAAAGATCTGAGTATACAAAGGAGTCAGGGTTTTTGTGCTGACCAGTGCTACTCTCTGTATTTTTCTCTGCGCAATTTTGCCGCCTTTGGCTATATATCAATATATTTCCGTAATGTCCTTGTCGAAGTTCGAACGCAATTACTCCATGCGCCTTTTCAGATATTTGCATCCTCAATTCTCATGCAATTTGGAAACATTCCTTGGTTGCTTCTACAAAGTTTGTAAGCTTCAGATCCAAAAGCATCTTGCCCCTCGTAATTTTATCGGGTTTTATAAACCGCTAGTAATAACGTTAATACTTACACTACTTGATTCAACAAAGATGGTGATATTAGACCCTTAGACTTTATGGTTTGAAAAGCTTTTAGTGCTGTATTGCGTATTCATACAATCCGTACATTTCTAATATCATCGACTGAACCTCGAACTTCGTAAGAAACGCCATCTGAAAAGCATAAGGTTTGTCTTTCAGAGCAAAAGCCAATTCATTCCCAGCTATTATTCAACCTTCAATAATTGTTCTCCCAAGTCTCTATTTGCCGCGATCTTAAGAAAGGGGTTGGATCAAGATCCTTCCCAACTGATGCTTCTCGTTGAGGCGCTCCTTTGGGAGATTTCTTTCAAATGTGCTTTCCGTTCAGGCAATATTTCCCACGAGTATGCTTCCTCTCGAGCTTGCTGGTTGTTATATGGCGTCACGGCTATAAGTGAAGCGGCAAAATCGCATAAATAGTATTAAAAATTGGAGCCAATGGAAGGATACACAGCTATTTGAGTTGGTGATGTCCAGAAGATTGTGGGGTTCCGCAAGTATGGTTACATCTTTCAGGTCTCATAAAGCCTGGTTGTTGAAGTGTGTCTTTCCTTCGGTGTGACTCAATATGCAATCATGCAAGTCATTGATGGATAACCTGGATATTACCTCGTCACGTGTTCCTACGAGGCTCTCGATATCCCGACGTGCAAGTGGTGTAACCACACTAGGCCTCCGCTCGTTGGATAGCGAGAAAGGAAAGTACCATGGGAGCCCAATTCGTTGGCCTCACCTTTTCAGTAAACAGCGGTGAGCAACAGGAAAGTAGGAAAACAGGAAAATTCGGGACAAATTTTCTATTGTGCAGGTCCTAAGTGGCGCATACTTGTCACTTTTCAGATCCAAATACTCCCCAGAGACCTTCTAGCGTGTGCTTATATATCCATACATGGTCTGATCACCAGTGCATCCATGTCACAAAGTTTCTTTCCTTGCTTGGTTTTCCTCACACAGACCAGACCCAAAGCCAGAAAACGGTGATGCAGATGAAATAGATCCGATCTCCTACGGCTTCGGTATCTATCGTAAAAAGATAGCGGGATGACCAGTCGAATGGAACAGATTTGTTGGATGGGGATACATAGATCTGCAGAGGTATGAATGCGCCTTTGCTGTTTCGACGTGGCTGATGATTTTCCTCAAGATGAAAGAAAAGGCTTTGGAATATGCAAGAAGGCGATCTACCCGCAGAAGGGTCTATGTATTGATGAGAAGCTCATTGGTTGGTTGAAGCTTGCCCGACACAACGACATGAAAGGCTTCAAGCCTTGACAGAAACTATTCTGGATTTTTACGTTGTCCATGAGCGCCACGAGCGAGTAGCTTCATCGTTGGCCTTGATTGTCATGCGAAGGAATCAAGTGCCACGGTACATTTATCAATACACTGGTGTCTGTGTTATGTACTCATGCTACTTCCCGTTGATAGACCTCGAGCAACATTAGCGTGTTAGGGTTGGATGGCGGCAATGAAATGAATCCGCTGATCTTCTAGGAATAGATCTCGTAGTAGATATTTGATATCGTCGTAAGTCTTCGTAAAATCTCTGGGTCATGGTATTGTGACAAGTGAGTACGAGAATGATTACTTCTCACTGACGGAGTGAATCAGGAGAACAATAGACTAGGGATGGATCTTTGTATAGCATAGTGATGACACCCGATTTTCATGCGAAGGGATGGCGTCCAATGTGTTCCCCAGGATGAAACATCAGCGTAATGTAGTCTCCTCGGCGAATCATCACTGAGTGATGTAGAATGTTAAGAATGCAGATGCAAAGCATATTAATGAAATTGTTCACACTCCTCATATTTGACTTGACGAGGCTTGCTGAAGCAGTGTAGATTCCATCTGACTGGAAGGTGATGACGAATGGCGAGGCCGTCTGAATAGCTTATGGGTAATGGCGTGGTGCTGCATTTCGTAGATTGGATTGAATTCCTACCGCATTTGGCCAGATTGAGGCGGTCGGCGTACATACTAGGTAATTTAGCTGACATTTCCCACTTGCATTCCTTGGGGCCCCAATAAATAAGCCCCGGAAATTGACAAACATGGAGGAGATTCTTGTTCAGGAATGAGGAAACAAGATAAGAATATTCTTTGTATATGTTTGATTGATTACATTCCAACAAGAACACTTCTTAAACTGTTGGGATGAGGATGAAGAATACAGCAATGAAGGGGGTTTTAATTCCTGATCCAAGATCTACCAAAGTGAATTGGAAATCGAATAACTTTGCTTCTTTCCGATTTCCAAAACAATGGAACTTGGAAGCATCTTCAAAAGGAATGAAATATGACACTAGGTAGAATTCCATTCTCGATTTGTTATAATTACATACGATTATGGCCCGCTCATCACACAGCTCCCATTGGTACGTACTACGGACGGAGTAGTAGTATAGGTTCTAGGAAAAGCTTGAACGAACCGGAAGCTCTGGAACCTTTGGAATTTGTGGAAGCACTGTAAAGGCTAAAAGAATACTCCGTTCCTATTAAATTTCCAATCAGGACTTTTCAAGGCCCATGGATCGATTTGTCTGTGCTTCTGGGGGGGGGGGGTCTCTACTCTGCAGATACTATATTGTATATTACATCTATATTTATATTCCTTTCGAAGCGAGGGGGAAACCGGAGAGAGTCAGAGACAATGCATTTATTACGATTTGTGTTGATATATGATGAATCTGGGACATTCATAGATGGTGACCAAGTGGTAGATAACGATCGTGGTTCAATAAGAATGGACGTAGCTGTTTTCCACAATCGAATGACTTTCACCGAGTAACGACAAGTTGTTCTCTGGGATCGATTATAAGATTAATTAGCATTGCTGAAATGCAGGTACTTTAACTTTTAGTCACATCACCGAAGATGCGTTTCCACTTCCATGGACTTGATTGATCTTCGTCGATTCTAGACACTTTGGTAGGGAATGGTTCCCATATAAGTTTCACTTCATTGGCATATGTCAAACGCCAACTGGAGGGACGAAATCATTCTGTGGGCCAACTCCGTGCCCAGAAGAGAACATTGTATTATTGTATGATGAGATTGAGGAGGTGATAATATAGTTGAGGTTGGTAAGGTTACGAGAGTATGAGAGTATGAGAGTTTGAGAGTATGAGAGTATGAGACTCTGAGATATGAGGTTCAACCCAACCAACCATCAACATAATGACAATGACAATCGCAATCGTAATACAATAGTAAGAGTAAGGGTAATAGTAACAGCAATAGCAATAATAACAGCAATAGCAATAATAACAGCAATAGCAATAGTAACAGCAATAGCAATAGCAATAGTAAGAATAAAGCAAAATGTAATCCAAAAAGCCACATTACCCTGTACGACACGATCCTTTCAATCAGATTCACGGTCTACTCGTCTGCTACTATTTGACTAGGTGGTTACAGAAATACTCCCTAGGGACTAGTTCCAGTCCCAGCTCTAGAAGACTCCCCTCCCTTCAACCCCATCTCTAGATAAACCTTATCCAATTGGATCTTTCCCTTCAAAAGAAATCAAAATCAAAAATGGCTCAAGGTTAGATATACCTAGTAAATGGAAAGGAAAATACACCCATCGATCTCATTGAATAATCTATCTTAAACAATCGTACAGCTTTACAGCTCGACTTTTTCTTACTCTCTCACCTCACCCTCGTCTTCTTCCTTCAACTCTCCCTCTCCCTCTCCCTCGCACTCACACTCACTCCTACTCTCTCTCTCTCTCAAACCCTTCCATCCCTACTTTGGTCGAGAATTCTCTGCAAAAATTCCTTATTCTTTTGATACACTTCCCCTTCCCCCTTCCCCCTCCCCCCACGCTATCGTAAATAAAACACTCAACTTTATTTGTGCATCCCAGACAGGAATCGGGAAAACCTTACCTTATTTGATCTCATTGATTACCCTCTCTCTGCCCTACCAACATTACAAAACTTTTCCCCACAAACCCTGGTCGAACCTACGCCCCAAAGAATACCTTGAAAAAAAAGTATACTACCATACACATACTACTGCGATACTGCCACACAACGAAGAACGAACAAGAATTCGACTTCGACAGTGCAACCTATTCATCTTCCTTTCCCTTGATCATCGACGTCGTGGAACAGGGACTAACCGCTCGTTTCCTGACACAAACTGCAATCCGGACCCTCGAATCGATTCTCCACCAAAAAATCCACCGAAAACTTTACGTTCCTGACGATTTTCCCCTTGCTTCCCCAGGCGTACCTCCCGCGTCAAAACCAACGAATTCCCAACCCAAAAAGGGACATAGACTCGATCAAAGCAAGACAAATCACACAAGGAAAAGGCAATTTTACTCCAAGAATATAATCTTATATTTCATTCTGGCTACTGCTGCGCGGGTGCCTACCTCTACACAGAAAAGCGCGCTTCTTGACGTTGCATATGACAAACGAAGGGATTGTGTCGCGCGACCTTTGCCCTACCCTTCATACTTCAATATATCCCTCCCTCCCCTCCCTCGATGCTCGATTCCTCATGAACTCCAACTTTCCGCACATCCTTCTTTTGTAAATGAGCTTTCGCCTACTGTCGATTACATATTCCGACTTCTTGCACTGGTAAGATTTGTCCTTGCAACTCAGCTTAAAACCGGACCTCAGCCTTACCGCACGGCATATGCTGACATTTACAAATTTCCACAGTCATATAGATCTACAACCTGTCAAATACCTCATAGAAAGACTATTCTTTGGTTCAAGTAATCTGCCATCAAACATATCGACTCCTTCCAACATATTTTCGTCCTGTTTTTTTCCCTCACCCAGAGACTCCCACGTACATACCGAATTTACAATACGTCTTCGATAATGTCCTCGGCTGCCGCCAACAGATCTGCAGGTGCCATGAATGCGGTGAGTACCCCAATCCTTTCAAAACTGTATGCAAAATTAATATTTGAACTTAGCAACGGCCTACTCGATTTGGAGATTTCCCCACTGCCACAGGCAGGCACAATAGCGATGACAGAACGTCGCAAAGCTCAACGCTTGGCCAAACTTTTGGAAATGGTGGTACATGGCAGCCTTCGAGTGGAATCTGGGGTAGTAACACAATCGGGAGTGGTTTTGCCAATGCGAAGCGAGATGCCTCGCGCTCTCGAGGTATTTATACTAGCGAAATCCAAATTTCTACATTCACTGATGACGGTCTAGCAGCAGACAGTGAAAACTTCTCCGATGCCCCCAGTGGTTCGGGTGCCTTAGCAGCATCTTCAGAAGCCGACCCTTGGGGTGCTCGTGCAAACGGACCTTGGAATCCTCCGGATACAACATCTCCAACATTACAGTCCTCGCACAGCGGAAGTACTTCTCCTTCTCACGTCCGCAACAATATTCCATCACAAACACCACAAAGTCTGCACGATTTGCAAGCATACCAACAATCAAGACCTGCGATTGGACAAGGAGCTAGTTTCGGTCGACAACAGCCGAAGAGTAATTTGGATCCCTCTTCTGGAAGTTTCAAATTTTCGCGCAAGCCCTCTTTTGGATTCAACGACGACAAGGAGAATTCCTCCCAATTCTCGTCTAATCAGGATAGTGCATATGATATTGATGTTTCATCCAGGGCCTTCAGAATGGATCAGCTAACCTCTCAAAACGGAGGCTTCCTTGGTATAGGCTCGGCTTCAAGAGATGGAAGTATGCCACCCTCCAGAACCTCAGAGGCTGGCCTCAACAATCTATCATTTGGCAACGGAAATGCAAGCTTTGGCTCCATTGGTGGCCATACTCCTAGCAATTCAATCCACTCCCATCGTCCTTCTTTCTCGGCAATTTCGGGCTCGTTTGCACAACCCAATTCATCGAGATATGGCGACCTTATCACGCAGACGGAAACCGAACTACGGGAGAAGCTTGCAGGACTTGGCTTGACCAACGATATCGATCAAGCCAGCGCATCTCAGATCGGCACCGGTTTGAGTTCCTCATATTCTCCAACGAACCAGAACTTTAAACCTCAAGCTTTCCAGGTTAATGGTAGTTCAGCCATGTGGAATGATGGGTCAAACGGTCCCAAGGCTAACAATTATGATCATTTCTCAAATCAAGCACCCTTTGCAGACCAAGGCTATCTCACAAAAGGGCCTAGATTCGACCGGGGTTCTGTCTCTCCTGCGTCAAGCGACTACCGTCGTGGCCTCAATAGTCCTAAATACTATTCCGGTACTCCTCCAACAGGATCTGAACAAATTTACCGACCAACCTCAAGGGCAGGCCCGAGAATACCTCAAGGCCCAAGTGAACTGGACCGTAGACTTCAACACGTCCAGTTCTCTCAACACCAAGCTTACCTTTACAGCAATGGTCATTTCCAAAGCCAGTATCCACCACATTTGTACGATTACCCACCACCAAATTTCAGACAAACGAACGTAGCACCATATGGTTATCCTATGCCACTACCCCCTTATCCGGCACAAAATATACCCACTCGCCCAGCCAAGGATCAAGATGTTGGGCTTGGAGTTAGAAGCGTACTTTTGGAAGAATTTCGCTCAAATGCCAAATCCAATAAGAGGTATGAGCTGAAGGTATGTATTTTCCCGCATCGCAATTTTTACAATCACTAACTGAAACTAGGACATCTATCAACATGTCGTAGAATTCAGTGGAGATCAGCATGGGTCACGATTCATTCAGCAAAAGTTGGAGACAGCTAACAGTGACGAGAAAGAGCAACTTTTCCGAGAGATTCAACCCAATGCGTTACAGTTAATGACTGATGTGTTTGGAAATTATGTCATCCAGAAGCTGTTTGAACACGGCAATCAAGTACAAAAACGGGTGCTGGCTGAACAAATGAAGAACCATGTAATGGAACTGTCAATGCAGATGTATGGCTGCAGAGTTGTGCAAAAGGTTTGTTTTGGCCTTGAACATTACACACCACCTTTACTAACAATTTGAAAGGCCCTCGAGCATGTACTTGCCGATCAACAAGCTGAACTAGTCAAGGAACTTGAGGCAGATGTCCTCAAGTGTGTCAAAGATCAGAACGGCAATCACGTTGTCCAAAAGGCTATTGAGCGTGTTCCAACGGAACATATTCAATTTATTATTGAAGCATTCCGGGGCCAAGTCCACGTTCTCGCAACTCATCCTTATGGATGCCGAGTGATTCAGCGTATTTTGGAATACTGTCAACCTCGCGATCAAGAACGAGTGCTCGAGGAATTACATCAATGTGCATCGAACTTGATTACCGATCAATACGGCAACTATGTTACTCAACATGTTATACAACACGGAAAGCCTGAAGATCGTGCTAAGATTGTCAAAATTGTCACGGCACAGCTTTTGACACTTTCCAAGCATAAATTCGCCTCAAACGTTGTGGAGAAGAGTATACAATTTGGCACGGATGAGCAGAGACACACTATTGTCTCTCTATTGACTGCTCTTCATAGTGATGGTACAAGTCCTTTGCAATTGATGATGAAAGATCAATACGGCAATTATGTCATTCGTAAGTCAAACCATTTTCAATTAGACTTCACTATGCTAACCTGAACAGAAAAACTTCTTGGGCAATTGAAAGGCGCCGAAAGAAATGCATTTGTCGAAGATTTGAAGCCACAACTCTTGGCTCTCAAGAAATATAATTATGGTAAACAGATTGCTGCCATTGAAAAGTTGATCTACGGTCAAGATGACTCGCAGCAATCATATAGTACATCGTCAACTGGTCAAACACCTGGTGCTATCACACAATCAATGGAGTCGAATTCGAGTGCCCCAACTCCTCTGCTTACGAACGGACAAAACAGTCCACAAAGCAGTAGCATCCCTAGCGCCAATGTCAGTACTATTGATGATCCAGCCGATAGTACATCTTCAGACAAGACAACCGTTGCTGTCAACGAAAAGTCTTGCCCTGAGGTCGTTATCAGTGGTGTTTAAACTTGTCAATTTCCTTTTCGCCGAACATTCTCTTCCACTTCACGTCATATAAAAAAAGCATCATTAAAGGGCGTGGCGGTATTGGGTCCGGAACGGCAATTTGGGACTGGACGGTCATAAAAAGTGAATATTTCTTTAATGGTACTGTCTACCTCTTCGAATAGTTTTTATTGCGGTGTTAGAAGGCGGGTCTGGTCTGCTTTACTTCCGCATGGGTGCATGCATATACAAGCCAGGATTGGCGACGGTGGATTTACTGTGGATGAATATGGAAATGAACATGTTCTGTTCTCGACCCGTTTTTTTTTAACATTTACGAGTATTTGGTATCATCTTTGGATCAGGGACTTGTGGGAAAGGTTCAAGGATAACGGAAGAGAAATTCCGCTCTATTTATACTTCTTGCTGCACATTTTGC